AAGCGGTGCTGAGCACAAGGCTCCATTGCATTACAAACTTTGCCCTGGGCCGGGGGCATCCCTACTAGAAAAGGGGCAGTGACTCAACGCAGCTTTGCCATGTCTGACCTTGGCCCCCAGATCTGCCGGCCAAGGCTGTGCTCTTGCCTCCTCTTCTCTCCCAGCACCTCACCTTCCCCCTGCTGTCCGTCACCCTCCTGGTGTCCTTTGGTTCCTCCATGCTCTATGGCTACAACCTGGCCGTGGTGAACTCGCCGGCAATGGTAAGGGACGGGCAGCATCTCTAGGAGCAGGGGGACTCTGCATCCCTCCCTGTGAGGGTGGAGGGACCACAACCCAGCAGCCCCACATCAAAATGCTGGCATTTCCCTTGGGCAGTCACCCACAGGGAGTGGTCTGGGGGGAGGGACAGCATAGGAGGGACATGGGAGCCCATGACCATGTACTCCCCCCAAAATGGTCTCCCCTGGAAGGCAGGGGCTGGGGAAAGCTGCCTACAACCTCCTTGCTCCAGCTCCAGCTCTGCCTGTGGCATCTCTAAGTTGTCCTTAAACCTCTCGGGTGCTGAGGCTGGCTGAGCACCCAGACCAGCACATCCCAGTCATCCCCAGTCATGTCCTGCCCGGCCTCTCCTGCAATGCTGTTACACCCATGGCATTTTCCCTATGGGGCCCATCTTCCCTTGTCTTCCCCTTTCTCCCAATACAATTGGTGCCTGTGTGTCTTTCTCTCTGTCCCGCAGCACATAAAAGCTTTCTACAACGCCACGTGGTCCCGGCGGTATGGGCACGGGCTGGCCCCCGGCCCCCTGACCCTCCTCTACTCCCTGACTGTCTCCATCTTCGCTCTGGGCGGGCTGGTGGGCTCCTTGCTGGTGGGGGTGCTGGTGGAGCGGTACGGCAGGTAAAGGGGTGGCATGGGACAGGGTGGTCGAGGGATGGGATGGGGCCAGAGGGGCTGCCCTGCTGTTTGTGCTTTGCTAGAAATGGCGCACTGAGCCGCAGTGCTTTCCTTGTCCTCCTGGCTGGCGGCTTCATGGGCTTCAGCCGGGAGCTTTTTTGATCGTCGGCCGCTCCATCATGGGGCTCCACTCAGGTAGGTGCTGCCTGGGCTGCAGGGCTGTGCATGGCCCCTTCCTCACGGCTCAGTCCCCTACAGCCCATTCCCAGGGGGGCTGGAGAAGACTTCATATTCCTCATGGCCACAGGCTCTGTGGTGGGGGTCTCCATGGGGTGGACAGGGCCACCTCACTGGCCACAGGGTCCCCACTGTGGATGGTGCCGGACATGGGAGGAGCAGCACTGAGCATCTGGCTGGGCATCCTTCTCCCTGCTGCTTCTCCCCTCCCGATCCCTCCTGTCCCCTCCAGGTATCTGTCTCAGCGTGGTGCCCCTCTACTTGGGAGAAATTGCCCCCAAGAACCTGCGGGGTTTCCTGGGCCTCATGCCCAGCATCTTCATCTGCCTGGGGGTTTTCTTTGCACAGGTCCTGGGCCTCCCGGAGCTGCTGGGTGAGGTGAGCACAATAGCCCAGCCCACATGTGCTGGACCTTGCTCTGCCCTCCCTGTGACACATCCCATTTCGACTCCTCTCAGGAGAGGTTCTGGCCCCTTTTCCTGTCCGTGGTGGTTGTTCCCACCTCCCTCCAGCTGCTGCTGCTGCGCTGCTTCCCCGAGAGCCCGCGGTACCTGCTGATAGAGAGGAACGACGTCTGTGGGGCCACCAAGGGTGAGAGGGTGTCCTGGGGGAGACTGGCTCCAGGAGGGGCTGGGCACTGGCCCAAGGTCTCCTGAGACCAAGGTGCATCTTCATAGCATCCTTCCACACCCAGAGCTGACAGCCCACTGAGTCCTTATGGCTCAGTCCTTCTCTCCCACCCAGTTCACCATAGCTTTCCAGGTTGCCCATCACCATGGAGTGAGGCATCTCCTTGGTTCCTGTGGATGCTCAGCCCCATGGGTCAGTGAGGTCCCCTGGGGAGGTCGGGCCAGGGCAGAGCCAAGCCCCTGCCCTGTGCTATACCTATAAGCACCCACCCTGCGATGGGGAGATGTGTACCCGTGACCCCCGCCCTCCCCACAGCGCTGCACCGGTTCCTGGGGACACCAAATGTGCAGGACGTGATCAAGGAGATGAAGGAGGAGCAGCGGTCTTTTTCCTCCGTGGAGATGTTCTCCGTCTGGCAGCTGCTGCGGGACCGCTCCGTCCGCTGGCAAACCCTCTCAGTGGTGGTGGTGAATGCTGGCATGCAGCTCTCGGGGATTGATGCCGTAAGCCCTGCGGGGTCCTCACCCCGCATCCTGGCTCTGCAGAGGTGGAGCTGAGACCAGGCAACTCATTTCATCAAATGCCCCATGGCTCTGTCCCCCTGGCTCACGCTTAGTCCCCTCCTTGGCAGATCTGGTTTTACACCAACACCATCTTTGAGAACGCTGGGATCCCTCCGTCCCAGATCCCCTACACCACCGTGGGCACCGGCGCCATTGAAGTTGTTGCTGGGCTGATCGGGGTGAGTGATGGATGGACAGAGGCACGCAGCCCCTTGGTGCCAGAGCCTTGTCACCAGCTTCCAGCACCATCAAATGAGGGGTGCTGGATGGACCCCAAATGCTTTCTGTACCACAGCACAGCCCCTTTGCTGGGGGATCAGAGGGTTTGGCAGGGAAGTGGGGTGGGGAGATGGGATGAGAGGGACTCAATTTGTGGGGTCCCATCTAGGAAGAGTGGGAGAATTTTGGGGTAAGTGGGTAGCAGGGAGGTTGGGGGTAGATGCCAGGCAACGAGCAGGTTGGAGGTGGTGGAAGGGGCTAAACAGTTCTTTCTGGCTCCTGATTTCATTGTCACTCTGTCAGCAGAAACACATGTCCCCATCTGCCCCCCCCAGCCAAGCACTGACCTGGCCCCAGGCTAGCAGCCCCGGCCCCCCCAGCCAGGCCTCATTTAGCTGGAGAGTTAGCACTGGGCCAGGCAGATTTATGGCCCTCGTCCCATCTGCGAGTGTCACCCTGGGCCAGCCCAAGCCACCCAGCACTAAATCCACTCCCTGACAATTAGAGAGATGGATGGGGGGTGGCTGCTCCCAGAAAACTGGGGCTGAGTGGGGAACAGCTCCCCTCTCCCTGTAGCTCAACCCACGGCAGAGTGGGGCTGCCTGGTCACACCTCTGCCCCTCTGAAGGGTACCCCTTCTCCCCGGCCCTGGCTGTGGGGCTGCCCCAGCCCCCTGGCAGCTGCCCGGCGTGCAGCCGGATTGCTCGGGAGCAGCCCCGCAAATGGCCCCCAACGGATGTGCCGAGATTGGTGATAAATTGCTGTCAATACCCTGCCTGCTCCAGCCGCCGCCACGCTGCCTGCCCGCACCCTGCCCCCTCTGCCCGCTGCCCCGCAAACACCCCGTGCCCAGCCCAGCACCTCTGCTTGGCACCGGTGCGAATGCGGCCATGGGGCCAGCCCCGACTCTGCACACTAATGGGGCTCCGCAGGATCCCGCTGCTGCCCGGTGCGTGCTCACCCCAGGACCCCAGAGTCCTGGCTCTTCCCATGCCCTGGCCCCAACCCTGGAGCTCTGAGCTGGGGGCTGCCCCCAACCCCCAGATGCCGCTGGGAGCATCCTCCCCCCTTCAGTTGGATCTGGGGTCCAGGGGGTGCCCCCGTCCTGGTGGGGAGCTCCCCACCACCCTGTCGGTCTCTGCTGTCCCTCGGCAGTGCTTTACCATTGAGAAGCTGGGCCGGCGGCCCCTCATCATCACCGGCTTCT